TTATTGTTTTCTATTGTATGGGTGTACACATGTTTATGTTATGTTTTTAATTTTACTTTATTTGTGGGTGTACACAGGTCTTATGTCTTATGTAATGTTCTCATTTTTACTTTATTTTTACTTTATTTTACTTTATTACTATTCGCACCTTATGTCGAAGCAAATTCCTAGTTTGTGAACCTCGTTCATTGACATGGCAATAATAAACTGATTCTGATTCTGATATATATATATTTATAGATGTGTGTGTGTGTGTGTATGTATACACCCACACAACAATAACAACAACAACACAGTACAACAACACGGACTAACAGATAAGGTAAGATATTGCAATTTTACATGGGATATAAAACTATTTTTAAGGTTTGACCAAAATGGCTACAACTCTGTCATTTCTCGTAAGATGACCTTTGTTTAAAACTCTGGCATGAAAGTGATATGCGTTCCTTATGGGATGCTGCGTCTTTGACGCACATAGAAAACTTAAAGTGTGACTAATGAAGCAGAGATATCTCCGTTTGCTCTGAGTGGAGCAGGAGTCGTCTGTGCATCAGGGACTGCTCTGATCGTGGAGTGACACTGTGGATGAAACAACAATAAAAACACTTCTGCAGGTTTATAGCCACTAACCTGGACTTCACATTGTAGAAGTAACTTGTCCTGGTGTTGTCTTCTTTAGGTTTGAGGTTCATGGCTCCTAAAGTCGCTGGTTGCCTCACAGACTGCGCCATTTTCTGTTTATCTTCAATCTAAGGGCTCAGCTGGCATCCTTCCTCCTTTTATTCCTCATCATGACTTCACCTTTTGACCTGTTTTCACAGCCCCTACACAGCAAATAGGCCATAAAATGAGAGGATTTCACATGTTTTTCATTCAACAAGCAGCAGGGGAAAGCTTAATGCGCCAGCAGCCACATGACTTGGTTAAGAGGTGATCCAGGCTCACATGAGAATAATGGAGTCAATCAATGAAGTCAGGCTTTCAGGTCAATAAAGCTGTCATTCATCTCATTTAATAATCAGAGGGTAAAAGTGCACTCTCATACGTGCAAAGCTGCATTAAAAGTTCACATTTTCAACAATACAAGGTCATATCGGAATGTTGCAAGAATAAGGTTTAGTTACGTATTTTCCCAAATCTTCGCAGAGCTGGGATGATTTCAGCAACAATAATAAACATGTTATTATCATGACACACATGACATCAGGGGTTCACACCCCCTTAGGTGGGGATTGTCCGAAATAATCGGAACAGTCCACTTTATTCTGAACCCTTAAGGACCGCATTACATTCCTCATGTAATTAGGAGGAAATAAGTCGCTTCCTGTAAATGCTGGCGACACAATCATCGTTGTGGAGGAAGTGAGCTTCAGACGACATTACAGAATGATCGAGACCGCAGCTATGGCTGAAGCTAATGCCGTCAGCAAGAAGCAGATGGAACAAACATTAGGAGCTCAAAGAAGGCAAAGTCGGTGTTAGTTTTACTGACCTGAGTCTTGACCAGGGATGGAGACGAGGAGCAGTCACATGAGGGTGTCTTCATATTGCAGTGTTATGATATCATTGCAGACAACGATAAACAGTTCATCATTTAAACCCCGCCCTCGGCTAAATCCGTCGTCTAGTCAGCTCAAGATAGTTCCCCCTCCTCCCCGTCTGTCGGCTGTGTGGCAAAAGCGAATATGAAAGCGGTTGGGAGTGAACTATCTTGCATTTTTGTACATCTTCAGTCGGTGCATTTTGGAGGAAAACCCATATATGGTTTGATTTGACGCTGTTTTTTAATCAATGTATGTTTGTGCTGCATATTTTTCTGAACGGTTGATTATCTTTGTGTTTTTTTTATTTTATTTTGTATATAACCTTTAATAAAAATGTATTTAAAAAAGCATACTTTTATATTAAATTTCAATTCAGTTTATTTAGTCACAGCAGAAGTCATCTCAGGGCACTGAACAGAAACATTCATATATAAAAATAACAAAATAACATTATTTATCTGAGGTGCAGACTGCTTTGAGTTTAACTCCGTTGCAGAACTCATCTTGAGCAAGCATGAAGACGACAGTGGAAAGGAAAACCTCCCTCAGACAAAGGACAAGTGGCCATCTGCTTCAACCGACTGGATTGGAGAGGAACAGATACACAATGGCAGGTCAAGAATCACATATTAAGATAGAAATAGTATCAAATGAAAATGATTCAATTTTAGCAAATCATTTAAGGAAATGAGGTCATTTTGTCCTCCAGTAGTCTAAGCTTAAGGCAGCATGACAAGCCAACACTAACTATAGGATTCATCAAAAAGAAAGTCTTAATCCCAGTCTTAAAACTGGACAACGTGTCAGCCAGACAGAAACTGGAAGGTGGTTCCACAAGAGAGGAGCCTGAGAACTGAAAGATCTTCCTCCCATTCTGCTTTTGGAAACTCTAGGAGTAAGACTGAAGTCTGCGAACCAAGTGCTCTGTTAGGAAAATATGTAACAATAAGATCTCGAATATAAGTTGGAGCTAGGTTGTTGAGAGCTTTGCAGGTTAGAAGTAAGATTTTGCATTCAATTCTGAACTGGATAAAAACACAAGTATAGCATAGAATAGAATAGAAACAGCCTTTATTGTCCCACAGATTGGGAAATTCAAGTAGCAGCAACAGATAAAAAGATTCACACAAAAAGTTCCTAAATGTTAAAAACAATATATAAAGAAATAAGATAAACAATATTAATAATAATGTTCAGTATGTGTTGGAACATTGAGACTGGCAGACTACAATACAGTAGTATTGGCAGAGTGTGTGTTTTAGCAGAGGTCAGCATGTATTTAATACCTATTGCGTTTGTTGGGAGCAGTGATGGTTATAAAGTCTAACAGCTGCTGGGAGGAAGGATCTGCGGTAACGCTCCTTTGTGCATTTAGGATAATAATAATAATAATTTGCATTTAGGATGCAGTAATCTGTCACTCAATGAGCTCTCCAGTTCAGCCATTAGTCATCAAGAACAGAATTAAACAATAATGCAGTCTCATTTAGGATTTTAATTGGCCTACCTGAACATTATTTATTTATTTATTTATTTATTTTATTGTTCAGAATGTCAAATTTTGACAAAATGCAGCAGTTTACCCTAACTCTTATGATGCATGTTTTGCATATGTCCCTTTGCAAGCACACCTGACTCACATTACCAGATTGTTATCAAGTTCTCCAGAAGCCTGATAATAATTCAGCAATTTAAATCGAGTGTCCTGAAGTTAGGGAACATGTAAAACATGCAAAGCAGTGAGTTGGAAAACAGTGCATCAACTTTCATTTGTCACTGTCAATCTTTACCTGAAGGGGGCGCTCCTAGATCCGTTGCCAGTATGGTAAGAAATACGAAAATTAGTTTAACAGTACATAAGGTGTATAATAAATGTGTTTTTTAGAACTTTCAAGGCTAAGAGGGAAAGCGTACCTTAAAACAAAATACATACGATAGCCGGGACAAAATGCAATAATTTTAAAGCAGTATTACGATATTTCATCATCCAACCATCCATTCATCCATCTAACCATCCAACCATCCATCCATCCTCTATTTCGTCTTTTCGTATTTGGCAACACAAGCCGGCGTTCCAGCCAATCAGATCGCAGGACAATGATCGTCAACAGTGTGAAAGACGTTCAGGGGAAGCGTGAAGTGTTTTAACTTTCTAGGATTCATCTTTAATCAAACGTAAGTTACACTTATTCGGCATTGGTTGAAGTTTGAAAAGATAACACACTGTCCGTTTGATGTTGGTAAAAATGAACAGTAGATGCTCAAACAGGGCCGTTGGAGTTGCTGCTTTACGCTAAAGCTACCTGACGCTCGCAGCTAAGCTAGCTACCACTGATACCGGCTGTTGATAAACAGGAGGGTTCATAAAACATTTGCTCTAAATAATGCGCATTTTTTGTAAATAACATATATTTTTTTACTGTCTGATCTCAAGAAACACAAGTCGCTGCAGGATGTAGCGCCATAATAATAACCGTATGTACGAATTAGCTAGCTAGCTTCTTTAGCAAATATTTTCGTGTTGATTTTAATGGTTTAAAAACACAAAAGTAGTCATTAATATGATAGTTATGTTTCAAAATATCCATGGGTTTGCTTGTATCTTCTCTACACTGTATTATACAGGAAATATGCTTTTGTTTAGTGATCATTCAACGAGGGTTTATTCAGCTGTACAGTATTTTGTAAAAAACAAATATTTGCTCTGTAAATAACTAGAAACATAAAATAAATTAAAAAAACTTAAGCCCTTTGCCTAAAAACATGGGACTTGTAAATCATCAATTTAAACAGCATGCCTGGTGGATTCTTACGTATTTTGGTACAGAGATGAAATTTCAGATGCTGGAATTAAAAACTTTTGAGACGTCTCAGAAATGTTTGGCAAAAAAAACTAAAGATTTTCTGTAAAACAAAACGCCTTAGCCGAATGGTAAATTACACGTTGACGATTTCTTGACCTTTTCTCTTCAGCAGACACTACTTTTAACTATATATATTTTTTATTTCAGGAATTGGCACTCAGAATAACATATCTGTTTACTGAACTGCTGCATCCATCAACACTGCGAGCACCAAACACTGGTGTTCATCCTTCTAGCGGATGAGAGTGGCTCACCGTCTGTAGTCAATATGGAGACAGAAGCCGTAAGTTTCTCATTTTACAGTACTATTTGTTTAATACTGAAAATTACAGAATCGTTTTAGTGGGGAAATTAGCAGAAAATAGTGGTCATAAATCAAAGAAAGCTTAGCAGGGGGTGTGGTGTGTGTGTGTTTTTTGCAGGAAGTTATTCCCATCTGGCAAAATAAGCCTCATGGATCAACTCGCAGTGTTGTGAGAAGAATAGCTTCAACTCTTCCACTCAAACCTCCACAAAGAGCACGTTTCCAGGTACATTTAACATCTTTTTACACTTCTGTCTAGATGTGATGCAGCCCTGGTATTTACAATAAATTTCCTGCTGGTGTTTTTTGTGCATTAGGAGCTTCCTGGTTTGCCTTCTTTTCGTCCCAAAGACGGCCCTTCAGTCCCTACTTTGGCAGACATCGCCTGGATTGTTGCAGATGAAGAGGAAACATATGCCAGAGTTCGGTATGTTTGCTCCAAGAGATAAGTATGGAGAAAAGGTTTTGGAGCTGTACAAAACCACCTTTCATCATTTAATTTAGCTCTAAGGTTTAATTTTATTAAATGTTCATGGGCAACTTACAAGAATGTGAGATGATTCATAGATGTGATAATACAGTTCTTTGTTATTTTTGTGGGACATCACTAGTAAAAACTAACCTGAATGGGTTATTGCAGTAGCAGGGCTTGTGTTTGGGTTTGCACTCGTTTTTTCTTTGTTACTACAGACGTTCAGCAGAGCAGTAAAAAAACCCAACCTGTACGGTTTTTAACAGCAGGAGATCCTGTTCGTTGACTCTAATCAATCTTCTGTTTTCAGGAGCGACACACGTCCTTTGAAACATGAATGGCGACCCACACCTCTCCTAGTGCTCCACAGGAACTCCTCTGTTCCCAACTTCCGTCGTGAGGGTAAAAGGATGGAGGTGCTCAGGAAGCCCGGCGTGACGGCCCTCAATCGGACCACCGCCCTGCAGGATGAGCTCAGCAAACTGCGGGCTCAGATCGCCAAGATCGTTTCAAATGATACAGGTCGGTAACTCGAGCAGACAAGAACAAAGTGTAAATAGTCTTTATATGGTAATATATTTTGTTACCTCTTTTTATTTAGTCAAAAAACCTAACTGTCTTAATAACATTTTTTTTTTTTAAAGTATAATTTCAATGGAAGCCTGTGTTTTAGCTTTGACATAGCATGCCTAAATAATTTTAAGAAATCAGTTCAAGATGAACTATTTTTTAATAAGTAATATAATAATGTATATGCATGCTTCATTCTGCCAAACAAAGTTATTACATCCTAGCTAGCTGTAATTTTTGAAGTAGCAATAAAAACAAAGTAACCAGAGCCTTGCAGGTTTAAGATTGTTTTTAACAGAGTCAGTGTCTTCATGTGACTGTTTGTCTTTCTGCCAAGTCAGCTGACCTGAATCTCTTAAAGCTCTGTGGTGCTGAGGTGACTTGGCACCAGTTAGTAGGTCAGTGGCTAAAGATTATTTCTCTGCGGTGCCATGGCAGCCGATCATCACATGTTGAGCTAAACAGACACAAAGTGTCACGTGCGTCGTGTTTCTACTGAAAAAAGATGACTTGCTGATCTGAAATGGCTTTTTTGGCTATACAGTATAAATCAGAGTTCTTAAGTAATGTACATGTGTGTTCATTTTTCTCTAATTACACAAATATGAATAAATCAAATAACTCATTTATTTTCTTTGGTTTCAGGTTCCAACCCTCTGACCCCAGATCTGCTCTCCCCAGACGACACAACCATGAGTTTTTCCATGGCGCCTTTCGAGACGGCATCCTACCAACCAGCCAGTGTGGCTCCCGCTTCCTTCGTCATCAGCGACGTCACAGAAGAGGAGGAAGAGGAGGAAGAAGAAGTGGAGGAAGACGAGAAAGATGATGTTTCTATCGTGTCAGAGCTGGTCCCCGACCCTCTGCCGCCTGTCTCCATGACGGCATCAGCGACCTTTGATCTGGACAGGCCCAGCATGGACTTCCGGGAGGCGGAGGAGGACACAGTGTCTCTGTCCAAGTCCACCAGTTTTGCTGACGTTATGGACATCCTGAAGGATATGAACAAAATGAAGATGAGCAAAGACAGGTGAGAGTCGCTGGAGTGAGAAAACCAACAAACTTCACTTTAAAAAAAGTTTTTTTTGTGATAAGTTGTGTGTTTGTGTTTTAGGTATAGTCGAGGATGCACGTCGCTCAGAGAGGAAGACTCGGCTACTCTGATCTCAGAAGCTCTAAGGAAAAAGTTTGTCCTGCAGAAAGAAGATACTGCGACTGTGAGAAGGAAATAACAAGTTCAGTTATTAGTCATAAACCCTGATCCTGCTGCCTCATGTAAGTCAGGAGACGTGTAGTTTCAGTAGTTTTCTTTTTATTTGTTGTGAACACATGCCCACAGATCCTCAGTTTCTCTCCAGACTCAAGGCAGCGTCCGTCTGCCAGAGTTACAACAGAAACACGTTTTGTCATTTAAAATCCAAGTCCACGATGGTGGAGCGTTCCGAGGCCCAGCAGCCATGTTTCATGACGCTGCAGATTACACGCAGCGTATTTCTTCCCAGCAGATTTTCGTCCCTGTTCTGAAAGTAAATCTGGGTTTCATTGAAAACAGTAATCGAGGTTCAAGCCATAACTCGTTTGGGTTTGGACTAACAACGAAAGTTTTGTTGCAAGTCTTTTTTTAAAGCTGTTGTTTTTGTTTCCTCACAGAAAACATGTAAATGATAAACCTTTTTGTTTAATGTTACCTAAAAAAAAAAAAACCCAGACTTGAACATATTTTGTGTGTGGATGAAACTGTACGGGCAGAGACAAACTTAACTTTTACAGCACGCGTGGGAAAACAACCTTCAACTAAAGTGTCTGTGCAGAGTATGTGTCATCGTAAGCTTCTTTTGCCCTTTCCTTTTTGTTTGTGACCTAAACGTGGATGTGATCGAGCCACAAGATCCAAATTTAAAACTAAAACTGAACGGAATGTGTTTTTTTTAGTAATAGAGTTTAAGAGTGAACCGTGTGTTGTGTAAATCAAAACACATCTTTACAAACACACGCTTGTGCAAATAGTTTTAAATGCACGTTTCCCTGCATGAGAAATCTGCTGATAGTTCAAGTCTCGGCTAAAACAAGACAACAGTAAACCAGATTATTTATATAATTCTCTGCCATTTCAATCAAACATCAAGTTAAAAATGTGTTTGAGTCAAAATAATGATGGTTAATGTTCCAGTCGTCGCCTTGGAAGAAATCCTTCTTCTGTGCAAAACCTTAATTTCATTCCTGTAGTTGTTCCAAGTGCCAAGGATTTGTTTTATACCAGCCTGCTCCTTGTTGCCTGTCCTGAACGTGTCCTTGATTTTTTTCATTTTGTTAGCCGCCATGTTCAGGCCTTTTCAAAGAGAAACACTCATAAAAAGCTAAGTTTGCTGTGTAAAAACATTCAGCTGAGCAACGTTTGAACTGACCGAGGGATGTTTGTCAGTGGAGTTTAAGTGTTTTTTTATACTAGCCCAGCTTTCAAAGTTCTTACTGTCGTGGTAAAGGGATGAAAAACAAACAGCGTCAGTTGAATTGTACAGGTTGTGCCTCAGTAGGTGAGATAATTGATGCTACACCGTTTACTGTACCGTCGAATGGGAAATGTTGGTTTTTCACTTTTGCTGTAGTTCTGAGTGAGTGTAACTTTTTGTAGAACCGAGCCCTCTTTCAGCACCACGTGTGTATTTTTTTCCTGTTTGTTGGTTTTTGTTATGCAAATACCTGTAAATAAAAAAAATGTGCAGATGCTTTTGAAATGGTCTTTAATAAATGATGAGCATGCGTTGACACAGTGTTACCGCATGGGGGCAGCACAAGCAAATAAAAGCGATTCTTTTTTATTGTTTAACTTTTCCTTTAAATAAACTAGTTTTTCTCTTTAATGCAATTATTACTGTATATGTGTTGCTAAAGTCCTCTTGGTTTTTTACATCCTGTTAGAAAACTTTAAAAAACTAGGGACAGAAAAAGATTTAAAAAATGGATTCATCTTGCAACTCGTTAGGTTAATTAGTTACAGGTCAGGAACATGATTAGGTGGAGAGAGGGCGAGTGATTCTACAGTTCAACAAGTCAGAATCTGTGCACAATCAAAGGTAGAAGCTTACTACTATTATCTGTGCATGAACGAACATGAACTGCCTGTTGAGATCATTATATTTCCTATTAGGTTGTTTTAAATAGGGTTAGAGTTTTTAACTAGTGTTCTACTTTGAGCTTTAACATCGTTATTTCTCTGCAGCTCCATCGTTCAGCATATACCCTGTTTTCACAGAAAATGCAGTTTTTACCAGTTTGCTTTATTGTCTGATTAGTTGTAACTCATTGGAGATAGGCATGACTTGAACTGAACGAGGTTTGTCAGTGGAGTTTAGTGTTTAAGTGTACATTACGTAGAAAATGGGATATTTTACAAGAGCTAAATCTTTATTAGAAATTAATATGTACTGGAGTAAAGTTGACTTCATTTCCTGAACAAAATGATTAACATTAAATGAACATGTATCTTTTATTATAAATCTTTTTGGGAGCTCGTGTGCAAAACAGCAGAAAAGACAAGACTGCGCGCCTGTTACACGTTTTAAACAATCGTTCAGTTTTATAAATTTATTTAAAATGACCACCAAAACTACTTTTTTCTGCAGACATGGTTCAATCAGTCGTCTAATAGCTGAAAAACAGACAATGGAGGAGTAAAACCTGATGGACTCTCTTCACATGCCTGACCCGATCACTACAGACTGCGTGAGCTCATAATTTCCAGGATTATAGTTAACCCACATTCTTTTCCTGTTCCTTCCCAAAACGATCCGGCCCCTCTGTGACTTGGTCTATTTTCCGAGAGAGTCCTTGGCCTACTTTGTCCCTCCTCACCTCCATCGTGGAGGTGAGGAGGGACAGATCCATCTACCTATTTTAGCTGCAGGAGCTCGTCTGTGGAGGACTCAGTTAATGGTTTCATGGCTAAACGAGGCTGCTGAATGTACAAAGGCTTTCACTTCAAAGTGACATTGGCACACTTTCATCACTGCAGCACTTGTCTGAATACTTTGAAAGGCAGGCAAGGGGGCCTTTAACTAAGAGGTTGCTAAAAGCTTCTTTAAATAAAGATAAAAGGGCCTTTTTCATTGTAAAGACTCAACATGAACCTGAGAAATAAAGATGAGTCTCCTTAGCAGTACGTTGATGCTGTTAGGCCAAATCACACCTCAGCACACAGGAGGACCAACAAGTGGAGCATCTTCTCACATCCCCTCAGAACTTTCCATCACTGCTTCCTCAGGTTTCTGGAAGCTCTTCATAAGGAGACCTAAAATATCCATCTTCTGTCCCAGCTGGTCTCCAGAGTCACCTGTTAGTCTGATCAGAGGAAATGCTTTCGTGGTGAGAGACTTCACCCGACGGAGGCGTCGTCAGGCGTTTTGCTTCTGATGAATCTGTCTGACAATCGTGCCAAGCGCCGCTGCAGAGAGGATGGTGTGAGCTGTGGCCGAGTGGAAGCTAAGATGGATGACTTCAGCTGCCATCGCTCTCAGAGCTCAGGTGTAACGCAGCATGTGGCTGGAGCTAAGAGTTGATGGAGGAAATGCCTCATTAGTGGCTCAGTCCAGAACATCCTGCAGAGACTGTAAAACTAAAATGGTGATGCAACATTTAAAGAACAGGAAGAGATGCAACTCATCTCTCCAACACACTCAAACTTAAGACTACAAATAGATAAAGACCACAAATTACATTTGTACGCATCTTTTACGATCGTCTATTGTTGTCATCACTCTTTGTTAAAAATTCAGGTCTCTCTTGTGAATGAGTCCCCGAGGCTCAATGGGATTAACCTGCATAAATAAAGGATGAATAAAAAAATATTGAAAACAAAGTGTTTACTGTGTCTTTTCCCTGAATAAAACTTGGACATATTGTTCAATTACACTTTATTCCTGCAAAATTCGGGAAATGTCTAAACAAATTGTCTGGGTCTGAACTTTCACGAGTCTCTCGGTTAAACCGGTAGATGCAGAACTTTTTTCTCGTCAGCACATTTAAACATGTTTTAAGGGACTTGATAACAAGGACGTTATTTGCACAGATATGTTTAATAAGTGGGTTTATAATTTGAATTCTGCCTGCTGCTCTATAGGGTGGTATAGCCTTTATTTATTTATCTATTTATTTATTTTTGTAAAAATGCTTCTTCTGGACATCATGATGCTCAGCTTTGGAAAGCCCAACAGAAATACTGAAGACAAACTGTTCTAATGACCAAACAGCTTCTAAATCCACTCCGTCCTTCTCATTAGCCGAACAGAAAACAACCAGTTTGGTGTGGGAAGTTTTCCCTTTTCTCCTTTAAAGCATCGTCACAATTTGTCTGCTGGATTAAATTCCTGTTTCATGTCGTATTTTAAACTCTGACAGCAGTGCAAACAGCTGAGCAGCTTTGATTTCACAATGATCTGATGAGGTCACGACCTTTCAGCCGGGTCACAAGCTTCATCTTCCAGCGTTGTATCGTAGCAACAACCGGCCGAAAGAAGCCGAGTGGATGACAAGGGTCCAGGGGAACACAAGAGCTGCATCTGCTGCTCCACGCCGCCCACTCTTCCCCAGTGTCACCCACACTCCCCCACCACCTCCACCACCGCTGCGTCATCAAGACACAAAACTCACACTTCTGACTCACAATGGTGACAGCTCTACACGAGTGCCCACAACTGAATCCACTCTGTCGTTTCTATTTTTGGGGGCATCTGGGGAGTTTGGGTCTCATCAGTGGGTTTGCCCTTTAGAGATGATTGCTTTGTGATGCAGAGTAAATTGTACCTATGAGCGGAGCCGTGCACGCTGAAGTGTGGCTCCCAGTTTAGAGATGCTGCTGAGGGAACATTTCCTGAAAGCATCTTGAGGAGCAAAGTGGGCGTTTTCTCTTCATCAAGACGTCTCTCAGCTCTGAGACACGTTTCAGTGCGAAACTGAACCACGTTTGTTTGTGAGCACTAAAAGCGTTGTGACCCATATGTGTCAGTTTTCTATAAATCATTTTATTGATATCCTCTGCCAAAGAAGCTCCATCTTCTTGTGATTTTCACACTGTTTAAAAATGTGACTGCACTTCAAAATGTTTTCGCTTAACCCAACCAGGAAACGCTTCGGATCAACTTTTATTCATTTCAAACCATGCTTATTTTACACATAACATTACTGGTTTAATATTAAAGGGTCATTTAAACATTTGTCCTTTATTGGACGTGAGCCGGCCGTTTAAATAGGATCTGTGTTGAGAAGAAGAACGAAACCTCCTAATTAGTATTGAGTGATTCTTCCAAGATGGCGGTAAAACAAGAGCGTCTTGCAAAGGTCAACTGGCTTTAAAGTTAATTTAACAAAGATTTACAAGCAATCGTGTCAGTAAATTATAGTGATGTTGCTCCTAAAAAGTCAATGGATGACCTTTCTTTTAATGATCTATTCAGACGTTTCTCTTTTTGTCCTATTTTGAACAGTTTATCCAAAGGTAACACAAACTCAGTTAGTTTTATGAGTTTTTATCAAAACAGTAATTAAATGAGCAAAACTGGACCCACTATAAGAAAACCTGTGGTTTGTATTTGATCACTACTAAATCAAATGACTTAGAAAGACCTTATTAAATAATTTTACAGACTTGGGTTATTCTATTTTCTTTATTCTTGAACGTAGAGCTGCAACCAGAGAGGGAAAAGTACAAAACAAATGATTAAATCAGATTTATTGTACAAGGACTGACTTTACTTCTGAACACGTCTTTTTCGGTGTTGCTTCCAGCTGACTGAGCTGAGGGGCTCGGCGGGGAATCTCCCTCATATGTGGAATATTTCAAATATCAGAAAAATCAAAATCAAAGGAAGCACAGAAACAGAGTTAACTCCAGCTCTCAGAGAGTTTGGTACAGCAGCTAATGAAGCTGAGCTAGCTGTGAGTGAAGGGGATTACCAGCACAGCTGGATTACAGCTTTAATAAATCAGATTTCTTGGTTGAACTGTTCCCCAAGTATAAATAAAAGATTTCCCTGTGCAGAAGTTATACATTTGATAAAGCGTGGAATAGAATTATTTAAACAAAAAGTTTTATATTTGTTTCTAGATGCTTATTTGGAGCTTTTTATTCTTCTTGCAGGTTGTTCTGGCAACATTTACTTGAACTAAAAACACAAGTTAGACTCAGCGTGGCTCTTTATCTTCAGTGTCCATCAAATACTCGATCATTTCAACATTCACTCATATTTTCCACTACGGTTCAGTTCTTCTGCTGTTTTATCCCACAGTTCCACTTCACTTTAAATCAGTTCGCAGGACTCTTCATGCCGTTACAGACGCACTTCTCAGTGTTTGAGTGGTTCTCCTCTGCTGGCAGGACTCAAAGGACATCTGTCCAAAGGACTGTCCAGCTCCTTAGCTCCCTGCTCCATCATGTGCAGCTCTACAGACACTCTGTCAATGAAGAAATGAAGATCCTAATTTAAAAAAAAAAAGTTTTTTAAAAATCTTTTATTGTGGTATTTATGCTTTTATAGTGTTTTGTTTTTACTTCTTGAAAGCCACAAAGTATGCAGTAAGCAACAACTGTGTTTATTGTGTGTGTGTGTGTACTTGTACACGTTGGGTCCCTTGGGGTTGACTCAAGTGATCTGAATAGAATGAAGTTGAAAGTAGCCCTCTGCAAAACTATGTTTGACAAATTAAAAAAAATAAAAAA